TGATATTTCTTCGAATTCTGATTCGCATTCAAATTCTAACTCTAGTTTTAAGTCAAAACCTGCTTCAAATCCTAATGATTTCAAGCCAAATGCTCATTCGCATTCACATTCTTACTCTAGTTTTAAGTCAACATCTCCTTCAAATCCTCATCATATCGAGCCGAATTCTGATTTGCTTCATTCAAATTCTTACTCTAGTTTTAAGTCCAAATCTCTCACAAATCCTCATGATATTAGGCCGTACTCCGAATCGCATTCAAATTCTGACTGTAATGTTAAGTCTAGTTTTACTTCAGATCCTCCTGAATCGGATCCCACATCTAAAGAAGGTCAAAAACTCCCTTCTAATAATTTTAATGTTAATCTTAAGGAAAATCGAAATCAAAATAATTCTAATCAAATCAAAACTCTTAGTTTTAAGCAAACGTTGCATCAAACTTCATTGTCCGAAGATTCTTGCAAACGTACATTTAGTACTACTAGGCATAGCATAGATAATCATAGTATCGATAAGCATAGTATTGATAATCTTTCCAATACTCTGAACTTATCTGAAAATACTACTTCTTCGCCTGATCCTTCGATCGATTCAAGCACTACTTCCATGTGTCCCAACTTTAACCTTAGACCTACAGATTCTACCTTTGAACTCACCAAGTCATTGTTAAATCTTGATCTTAAATCTTCTATGAACAACTCAAGGTCATTACATTTAGATTCTAGCTCAAATTATGTTCATGAAAATCAAAATTTTCTCAAACCTGTGTACTCTGAAATTTCCTCTTCTGCTTCAAAATCTTCTATTAGCTATTCATCAAATAGTGACACTTTCAACTCTTCTAACGTTCATCCTGTTACTTCAGACTCTAAAACATACGTTCTTGAAAATCGAAATTTAATAACTACATTTTTCCCAGATTTAAAGACAAAACCTTCAAAAAGCAAAAATACTAACTTGCGTTCAAGTCGCATACATCATGATATTCAACAGCACCCAAGTTATCGTTCCCCTTCAACATTTGATAATCAGCAAAACTCAAGCTCGTTATATTTTCCTTATTGTAATTTTATCCCAAAATCTGATATCAACATTCGTTTTAATCACCATCCGAATAACCTTCAAAAATCTGAAAATCAACGCTTTAAAGATCAAGAGTGGCGGTAGCCACCCCCGGTCGAGGAAAATGACGTCCTACTAAAAAAGTAACAAGAACTACAGTCCAAATTTGTATTTTCAACCATACAATTTAATCAAAAATTTTCAGAGCAATTCTGTCCCCAATCATCAATCCAAACAATTTCAAAACAAAATACAGTCTAACTCCAAAAATTATGTTAGTTCCGAGGCTAAAAATAATCGCTCTGAAAACCGAGGAAGGACTTCAAAAAATAAATCGCCTAATTCACATCCATCACAAAAATCGACAAAAAAGTCGCTCCCAAAACCGCAACACACTGGTAAAATTAAAGATGAAGTGTTAACTAAAACGCCCATAGTTTCCTCTCCTAACAATCTTAAATCCAATAAAACCACAAGCGAACATTCTCTCGATAAATCAAAGTGTAATTCATGTTCTAACGTCAAAATTAAATTAGATCCAGCCATATTCATTTTCTCAGCTCTTTTTCTAAGCGAGTCCGTTTTCATCACCACGCTACTGCACTTACTTCTGATCAGAAACTTTTAAACATGCTCTCCAACCTACCCTTTAAACTGCTCACAAAATTGCACTCATTCCCTAAATTTCACTCGGCAAATTTCAACGTAAAAAATCATCACCCAGCTACGAACGAACATAAAAATGAAAACCCCAATTACATTCGAAAAAGTAATCAGCGATCTTCAACCTGCGTTTCTCACTCACATTAATTCGTCTTCATTTCAATTCAACATACATTACATTTCTTCTGTTTTCTCCAAACTATCTCCTTACGTCTATATCTACATTCTACTTTCTTTAATATTCTCTAAATTACCTCCATCATTCATGTATTCTATACTACCTCTTCATTTTTCAATTATCCAATTTCCTTTAAAAAAAAAAAAATTAAAATTTCTTCGAAATTTTAATTTTTTCTCACATGGAGGGAGG